AGTGCTCTCTGAGAGCAGGTGTGAGAGTCGAGTAGCGAAAGCGCTGGTTGTCTGTTGTGATTGCAGCTTTTCGACGTTAAGCTTTCCTTGCATATTTGGGCGCACATTTTTTGCTGCACAGAGGCGGGTGCGTATCTTGGCTGCAACAAGATAGTGGTCCGAGTCGATGTTTGGGCCTCGGAGTGTGCGTACGTCTAAAACACTGGAAGCGTGCCTTCCGTCTATCACAACATGATCGATTTGGTTTCTCGTTTTTCGATCCGGAGACAGCCAGGTAGCTTGATGGATCTTTTTATGCTTGAACCTAGTACTGCATACTACCATGTTTCGGGCCCCGGCGAAGTCGATCAGCCTCAATCCGTTGTCGGACGTTTCGTCGTGGAGGCTGAATTTTCCGACGGTGGTTCCAAAGATCCCTTCTTTGCCCACCCTGGCATTGAAGTCGCCAAGCACGATTTTGTTATCATGACGAGGGCAGCGCTCGTACGTGCGCTCCAAGCGCTCATAGAAGAGATCCTTGGAAGCCTCATCCTTCTCTTCCGTCGGGGCATGGGCGCAGATGAGCGAGATGTTGAAGAATCTCGCTTTGATGCGGATTGTGGCTAGACGCTCGTCCACCGGGGTGAACGACAGTACTCGGCGACGGAGTCTCTCTCCCACCACAAATCCAACTCAAAATTGATATTTACAATAATTTTTAGACGAAAAGTAAGAATATTATACATTTTTGAAAAATGGGCGTAGCCACGCCCACTTATGGTTACATGTGTATATCTTGGCAACCGCTGCACCGATTTCTTCCAAACTTGGCACAGTTATTGGCCTTGGTACAGGATACCAAATGGCCGAAAATTTTTACAATAACCACGCCCACATCCCATATAACGGTAATTTGGAGAAAACCGAAATCTTCGATAAATCAGTAAATATTAAAGCTAATTTATTCAAAATTGATGCTTACAACAATCCTTTACCAAAAAATACGCTTATGATAAAATTTTGAAAAATGGGCGTGGCACCGCCCACTTATGATCACATATATATATATCGGTAACCGTTCAACCAATTTGTGCCAAACTCGGTATTTTTATTGTGCTTGCCACATAAAAGCAAAACGTTGAAAATTATTGAAATCGGACTAAAATTACGGCCGCTTTTTATATAACGGTAAATTTCAGAAATGCATGAAACTGCAATATTTCGAAATTTTACGGACGCTAATTTACTCAAAATTGATACACCTGGCTAACCATCTAGCAGTAGGTTTTGGAAAGGTGAAAAAACATTTATTTAATATTTGCGCCGGGTATTTAATGTTCGGCTCCGCCCGAACTTAGACTTTCTTACTTGTTAATAGATGAAAAAGGTTATTGCCAAATCCTCAGTGTTGTGATATTAATCCACACACAATCATGAACTACCACCAATTGATTTTATTTAACAAATTTAAATTACGAATATGTAAAAACATGATGCGAAAAACTAAACGCCTGCGCACATCTGGAATACGAGAAATATTTGAAGAAAGAGTGTAGAAATGATCCATAACTTGCAAAACATGTATCGTTTCCACAAAAATAAAGCGAACACTATTAAATTGAAGAAACAGTCCATGTCCAAAAACCCCGGAGGAACACTGAAAGAATTCTGTGTTTTAAATTAGCATATTTTCAACGAATTCGGAATGTCTAAGATGGAAAAGAAACCAACCTTTCTATAAGGAAACAATTACAGAAAAAGACTTTTCTTACACTGTATTCATGTCTCCGCCAGCAATTTGTGACGACATCATTTAAAAGCAGCTAAGTAGAATGACGACACTATTTATTAGATGGCACATTCAACGAGCCAATGTGCCAAAATGCGGGTATAAACAATTATTGATTATTTAATATCGGAACCGAGATCATATAAGTTAATTGATTGGTTTTCACACACTTTTGAAACACAAATTATATACCTTTTTACTGCAGACAAGTTGTTGCCCCAAAACAAAGCAGAAATCTTCCAATCAGGGCTGCCAACTATCCTTAGTTATGAGGTGCCATATTGAGGATAAAAAAGTGCCAAAATGTGCCAAAGAGAAAAATAAAAGTGCCAAAAAGGGTGTTATTCCTTTTAATCATTCACATTTATCAATAAAATAAAGCCACATTTTCAAAACAAAAGTGCAATGATAAAATAGGATAAACCAGTTGAATGGCCTTTATAAATTAGAAAATTTTAGTTGAGAAAAAGAAGTGCAAGCAAAGGAATTCACAAAACTGAATTGAAATGTTATTTTTTTACAAAAGTGCCATTTTGGCACTTTATGCCAAATTGAAAAATTAAGTGCCATTTGAAGTAAAATAGGGACAAATGGCACAGTTTGTGCCAAGGCATTCCTGCTTCCAATAACTTACAAATATAAAAAGGTGAAATATCGAGGGCTTGAATTCATTAATACCCTCTATCTGCAATTTGCACAAAAACTAATTTGTGATTTTAGAAACCATCTGGGACTTATTACCTGTCGTTATATAAAGTAACATTAATATCACTGATGACAGTTAAAGCTTAGGTGGATTTTTATATCAGAATCTCATCTTTGTAAAAAATGTGCAGATAGAGGGTATATTGAATATAAGCCCTCGATGTTTAAAATATATACAAATTTTATTTCAACGTATACAAAAAATTAATCTACCTGTGTTACAGCACGGCGGGAGACGGGGAAGGAGGCCCGGGGGCCGCGGCGTGGCGTAACGTGGTGTGCGCGCCGGACGCGCGGGGTACACGGGGCGCGAGCGCGGCGCGCGCGGTGCGGCGCGCTAACGCGGGCCGCCGCGAAGCTAAGCAAATTTAATGTTTGAAAGAGAAATAATGTCAATGGATTTTATTTCGTTTTTAAAAAGGTAATAATGTCAATTGACTTTATTTCCCACCCTTATTTCCGTTGATCTTATTCCCTGTCACCAAAGAGGAGTAGCCACAGGGATATCTCGTACTTCTTTTTCACTCAAAGCTATTTCATTTTCACAGTCCACTGAAACTTCTTCTTGATTCACCCACTCAACAATATCCTCTGTTTCATTTTCTGTGATGACACACATGAGCTCTCGCCCGCGTCGTGAAATTATCCTCTTTGCTCTTCGACGCTGAGGCTCAGAAAAGATCAAGTGAAGCTTTTTGTGAACGTAATAACATGTTCTGACCGACAACGAAAACACCTTGAAAACGAGTTTTGGGATTGTGGGCTGAAGGCTGTTCACACCGACTGTTGGAGTTTTCGTTGACATTTCTTACATCCTTTGTTTACAGTTTTGCTACACAAATACAAAACCAAAATACTTTTCCTTCACTTCCATGCTTATTTTATTTTGACCCGCCAATATAAATCCGAAATGGCGTATTAAAAATGATAAAATATGAATTCAACTTCGATAAATAATAAAAAAAAACGAGTGCAGACACCGATTGGAATGAGTGGAACGTGAGTTTTCAAGTGGTTTGCAGCGAAAACTGGTTTGAGTTTGACAGATTTTACATGGACGAAAACACAAGTTTTCGGTCGAAAACCAGTTTTAGCAACGAAAACATGTTTTCGATGTCGGTCAGAACATGGGAGTTTTCGCCTGTTTGTGTTTGAGCTGCATTTTTCGGTTATAATAGACACCGAAGAGTAACGTTTTTTTAGAAAACTAGAAAAATTAAAGCAAAAGTTGTAAAAAATTGTAATATCCTCCGTATTTAATGTATATTTCTCATTTCAATACAATTTAGTACTTTAATTGGGTGAATTTTCGTATTTTATAAAGAACAATTTTGAATAAGAATACAAGAAAAATAATATTACGTAAGAATCTACGGGACGCCCCCTCCCCCCATATAAGAAAAAGTAAGAAAATTCTAGACTTTTTCCTTTTCGGTTGTTGTTGTTTCCGACAGGGTGGGTGTATGATGTATTATGGAACGAATGTCCGTCATCCCTTGTCAAATTTGGTTTGGAGACAAACCAGTTTCGGCGTTGTGCCATCTTCAGTGTCATTTTTCGTTCTGCATAATTTTTGTTGGTTGCTCGTATTTATACTCCTTGTTAACTACCTCTTTCTTTTGTTAGGTACGTCTTTTTAGTTTTGCAGTGTTTGCGGTACTCAATAGGTAGATTAATTGTTTTGGCTCGTTTTTGACGGCAGGTCCGTGATTTTTACCCTCTTTGTTTTTGCTGTTGGTGTATTCCCTTCCATATCTGTCCTTAATATTTTCTTCTTCTTGTACAGTAGTTTTAGAGGTTCAAATAGTACGTCCGATACAGTATTTATTTGCTCATTTATTATTTGTCCTTTGAAGGTCTTCTGTTTATATATTTCCATATTTTCTACTATATTCAATCTTTGTCCTTTATGTTGTACACGGAGAAGTTCTGTTGTTTGTCCAATCTTGCCAAATGCACACCAATGGAGATTGGACAAACAACAGAACTTCTCCGTGTACAACATAAAGGACAAAGATTGAATATATTAACATAAATTATGCAGAACGAAAAATGACACTGAAGATGGCACAACGCCGAAACCGGGTTGTCTCCAAACCAAATTTGACAAGGAATGACGGAAATTCGTTCCATAATACACCAAAATTCTAGACCCTCCCTTCCCCACAAAGGTCTTACGTAATATATGGACAGCCCCTTAGCTCTCTCAATTTCCCCTACTTTGTAAGTTTTTTGGGTACGCGAACACAAAAAGCGGATAGTTTTTATAACTTTCAATAATTATTAGGTACGCGAATGCAACTAATTGTGAACGGTATTTTCATTTATTCAATTCAATTAGTCTATTACTATGTTTATACGTAATCTATTTGCAAATAAAAATAATTTGCAAATACTTAACTCACTGTTTATTCGATGGTGAAAGAT